AGGAGAAACAGTGTGAACGAAGCATGATTTTGGTAACCACAACAGTTGTTGATCCAAGGACAGTGATGGTCCATCTTCATCACACATCTAACAAGAAAAATTTACATAAAACATGAGGCAGAAAATCCTGTCTACTTTAAATAACTTTGGTCTTCAAAAGATCAAGCAAATAGGAATCCAGCATGTCCATGAGCTATGGGAGAATTATACTTCATGGAACAGAAAGAAAAATCTTTATGAGCTTTTACACAATTATGAACAGTGACTCCTTTTAAATTCTGAACAGCACAGGAAAGGGCAGGCTTTCTAACAGCTTCTGAGGAAAAGATGTCAGCTACAAGTATTTGTTTAAAGAGGTCAGGAGACCCATTGAAAGGTCTCTTTCTAATGCTCATTATAAAGAAATGAGCATGGTTCCTGGATTTCTTCCAGCTTGTAAGTGCAGTGACCCAAGTGACCTACAGTAGACTCAACAAATCCCTTATAAACCTCCATTGGGGTTAATGGACTCAGACAGACACATGTAACTTCCTTCCTGTTCTCATAGTATCCTTTAGTTAGTGGATCTCTGAGCTAAGCAAGCAAACTCCAGAATATAAGATATGGTATAATAAGCAAAGTCTTGCCGTGCATCTGTTCCTTGCTGTTGATAGAAGACAATGTTCTGGCCTCAAATAAAACTTCATTTGCTTTCAACAGTTCTCTAAATTTCTTACTAATCAGTGATTACAGCTGTTCATTAAAAAAGGTCACAGATTATTTCACATTTTTAATAGTTTTCTTCTGATTAAGTTTTTGATATTAAAACATTTGTGATAACAGGCACCTGGATTATTAGATTTGTATACAGTGTAAATGTTTGTCAATAAGTCATGGGGAAAGCAGATCTCCCTTATAATTTAGACTCAGAACAATTCTAAAGTTAGGCCAGATGGCAGCTGACTAACACAATTAATCTTGATATCTGGAAACAAACTTGAAGTATAATTTTCCCCTTGTTCTCGCAGGACAAGAGGCAAAGTAAATCTGTATTTTTCCAGAAAAGCTTTTCACTTGTAACAAAGAAGAATTAAATCTATTCATTATCTGGATAATTTAAGTATAAAATGGCGATTATGGATACAAGTATTTTGACAGTATTTTTTATAATATGGCAACCTTGCAGTGAATAGAAGTAGCATTAATGTAGTAGAAGGAACAATGAAAACATTAGTAATTAGTTGATCAATCCTCTCTGAACAGCAAGAAAGACAGGTACCTGTTACACTTTCTGCAGTGATGTGAACGTGGTGCCTTGTATGCTTGGCAGACTTTACAATACTGGAGATACATGGTATCCTGAGAAATTTCCTTGGCAGCAAAACAGAAACAAAAATGCATCAGATACTTGAACCCAAGTATGATTCCTAAGGTATGATTTTCTTTTATGGGAGACAGGGGAAGGAGGGAGTCTTAACTTGCACTTCCAGTCCTCTTATTTGAGGATATATAAGAATATTTTATATTTTTATATAACAATTTTCTGGTAAGAGCAGCATCACTTTCCCAATTACGCAGAAGTCCTTTTAAATGTTTCTTCCCTGTGCTCCATCTAAATTCAATGTCATAGTTGGTTCTACTTACCCCAATTCTTAGCGGATGGAGGAGTTCAGAAAAAGGCAGCTGACAACTTGGCAGGTATTTTAGAGGGAGGAGTTAAGCATGAGTTGATACTCTTACTGAAATCTGCTCCCTCCTTGACATTACCCCTGTCACTACCCCTTTCTTGAGCCATTTTAATCATTTTTATCACTTTAATCACTTCCTAACTAGTCTCCTTTACTGTAGTTTTTCTTTAGCACAAACCATGTATTGTCAAAATAACATTCCTATAACCCAACTCTGACTGTGTCAGACTCTGCCTGAAAACCCCTAACACTCTCTATGGTCTACAATTTCTCATGTATTTCAGACCATCACGATCTGCCTTTGTTTCAGCTGTCTCTGCACTACATAGTCTTTCCCCAGCCACACAGGGCTGTCCATTGCTTCTGAATATGTGCCCCCACCATTCTCTCAACCTGCACGCCCTCTTCCCCATCTCCTTTGGAAATACCCACTCCTCCCTCAGGTCCCCAACTGAAAATGCTCAATTCTTCTAACTTCAACAGCACCCATCACATTCTACTTAATAGTTTAGTGATTTGCACAAGTGCGTTTGTTTCTTGCTTAGGTTATAAGCTCTTTCAGAATTCAAATTGTGTCTGGCCCTTCTCTGTACTCATTCCGAATAGTACACAGCACACGATATACACCAATGTTTCCCAAACTTTAATATACCTGAGAATCACCTGGACACTTTATTAAAATAAAGGTTCTGATTCAGTAGGTCTGAAGTGGAGCCCAAGATTCTGCCTTTCTGACAAGCCATCAGGTGACGTCCCTTAGCAGGAAACATGGACATTCAGAAGCATAAACTTCCCAGTAGTTTTTAAACTATAAATGGATTTGGACTATACTTCTCAATGCTAAATTTTCAGTGCAATGATTTTAAGACTTTATGATTTAAACCAGCAGTTTCTAAAGCGTTTTTCTCAGTTCTAAGGGATGTTAAAAGTATTACATGAAAAAAGGTCCTACAGCCAAGCCTCACTGTGTATGACATGTGATGTTTCCTAAACTTTTGACCATGAACCCCCCCCACCTCCATCTTTTTTTTAAAGGAGAACAAATATTCAATAAAATTGCTTTGGCAAATGCTATTTTGGATCAATTTGTTCAAACAGATATGAAATAAAGTCTCCGAGCCTAAGTGATCAGTGATTAGAGTAATACACTTAGTCTCTATGAGAACAAACAGTAGGCTGTGTTTGGTATTATTCGTTAGCAAATACGGCAAAAACCAAATATGTGATTATCATTAAAGTTCATTGTCTTACAGAATCTTTCTTACCGGTTTCCACCTCAGAGGGACAAAGCCCGGACCGACAAACATGGCATTGAAGTAATTATAAAGAATCATGACAGTCCAATTTATCAACATGATGAAATTCACACTTCCTCCAGTTGTATGTAAGGGCCAATACCACAACACTGAGTCAATCATGGCCATTGTAGAACATATTGCTATAACACCGAGGGCTATGATGGGACCCCAGTGACACAGTCTCTTTAATTCTTGGAGATTTTCAAACTTGATAACTGAACAGAATGTACCCATTTTGGCGAGGAAGAACGCCTTCCTACTTTTAAAGAATTATAGATGTCCTTTTTCTGTGTGCACATTTCCATGTGCCACAAGTCCATGTGTGTTCTTTAACTGTCATGCCTTCAAACTGTGAACTGTTACGCAGATTACACCATTTTCACTGTCAGGCACCCAAAGCTCTTTATCTTAACTAGGAGAATCCAGTATCTTGGTCTCAAACCCAACCTAAAGAAAACAAAAATAGGAAAGTTCAGTTAAAAACAAAACAAAACAAAACAAACAAACAAAAAACCCCGCAAAAAACGGTTTATTACATACCATACTTGTTAACTACAATAAACACCTACAGCACAGCATCTCACAAGTGCACTACACTTTGGGATGCATATCTTGTCAAATGGCAAAAAGAATTACTTTTAACTTATCCAAAATATGGTACAAGTTTGAATGGTATGCAAACTGGATACATGATTCCAAAATAGTTGTTTTTATTCCTTCTCAGCTTCTCAGGGGACTGTCACCATCCAATGCTTAGTGAATAGTTTGAGAAGACAAAGAATTTTAGAACTGACAACCAGGACTTTAGAGTTGATCTAATTCGGTTTCCGAATTCTTCACAGAATAGAAATTGGCTGAGAGAGGCTGAGTGATTAGACCAAGGTCACAAACGGGTGAACCAGAATAGAAGGCAAGTCAATGAACTCCCTTTATGAAATTCTAAAGTCTTGAATTAAGCCAAGTGTGAGTCAGACATGGTCTATGCCATTTGCCTGCAGTCTCCCCTCTATCCCGCCACCCAAACATCAAGAGAACAGTCAATCTGGCCCAAAAGTAAAGGAGCGAGAGTGAAAGCAAAGAGAGCACGCCAGGAAAGGAAGGAAAGAGAGACAGCGAGAGTGTGTGTGATGTGTGTGAAATTATGACCAGAAGAGTACAGGAGAAGAACCTGAATTAGAAGATTCCAGGGAAGAAAGAAGAGGAAGTGCCTCCTGGAGCGAGGGAAACGGAAGGCAGGACGGCGAACTCGGGGAAGATTTGTGAAAGGGCATCTCTGCCTGGACAGGATCCGAAGATCTGGAAGAATATCTGAGCTACATAGATAATACAGACTACCACAGAGCAGACGCTGTTGACTTGTGCCTCAGTTTCCCGCCCGAGTCATCGAGCACAGGGCTTAGAAATAAATCCTCACCCAAGGAAAAAATATCCTAGTAAGCCAGGTCGGTCTCAACATTCAGGAGGGCCGGCTCCTACTCTGGGGGGGCAAAGACCACCAAAATCCTGCTTATATTCCCTGCCTTGACTCCCACCTCAGTGTGGTCCCTGGTGTCCGCTCTTCAGCCATCGCATATCCGGGGCGGCCTGGGCTCACCCGGAACAGATTTCTTCCTCCTTGGATAACTCCGTCATGGGCACCTCAGTCCAGGACAAGCAGAGAGCAAACCCTGGCCGCGAAAGGTTGGAGTGCGGGACCTGCTACAAGCCAAATGCCTCTCGACCAGCGCCCTCGTCGCGACTCTCCCGCTCAGGACCCCTGCGCAGTCTCCGTTACAGTCACTTCCGGGGGTTCGCCGCCTCAAACTTCCCTCCGGAAGCAAGTTCCTGTGACCTGTAGCTTGGGGATCCGGAGCCGATTCCCAGAACACGAAGGGGAAAAAAAACTCTCCTAATGATCCCTCAGAACCTGCATATTTTCATACGCTTTTTTGGGGGGCCACTAATTGGGGCGCTTTTCCTTAGCGAACTTAATTATCTTAAAGACGGAGCGGAAAATAAAGCACGCACGCAACCCAATTTCCGGAGAACCGAGATCGCGACGAACAACCAGGAAGCGACTGGGTTGAGAGCTGTTCCCGGTTCTCCGTTCTGCTCTCGGGGGCACCTCCCGGGGTTCCTAAGCCGCGGCGCCCCTCGCTGCCCCTCGAGGCCGTTTCCCTGACCTAGGCTTTGGCCTGGGCCACTCGTTCTGGAGCCGTCATGTCGTCCGACTTCGAAGGTTACGAGCAGGACTTCGCGGTGCTCACTGCAGAGATCACTAGCAAGATTGCGAGGGTCCCACGACTCCCGCCTGGTGAGAGCTCTGCCCGACTGGGCGAGGGTGCTGGGGAGCGCGGGGAGGGTGCGGGCGGTGGAACGCCGCCCGAACAAGTGTGTCTGTGAGGCGCGAGGCTGGAGTGGGTGGTGCTGGCTGTTTCCCGGAGGGGTAGGGCTTGCCTTGGTTGAGGGTAAAGAGTCAAGTTCGGGTGTGGGGTGCAGTGAAAAGAGCCTTCGGAATCTGAGCCATCTGAGTTCGAATCTCGACTTCACTCCCTTGGAACTTGTATAACCTGGAAACGTTTCTTAACGTCTTAAGAGTCTTAATGTTTTCGTTTGTTAATTAGAGATGTGAGTATTCAAAGAAAATGAATGAAAGTACGTAGTTGATGGATCTACAATCTACAGCGGCGTTGTTGTGTTAGTAATAATATTGTTATAATTATATGCGGCAAAATAGAGGTAAGAATCAGGGTGCCTAGATTCAAATCCCACCTCTGTCACTTAAAAGTTGTGCCTCTTAACTGGGGAGGCAGAGGTTGCAGTGAGCCGAGATCTCGCCATTGCACTCCAGCCTGGGCAACAAGAGTGAAACTCCGTCTCAAATAAATAAATAAAATAAAATAATAAAATAAAAGTTGTGCCTCTTAAGCAGACTACTTAGTCTCTTTCAACTTTTCTTCTTAGTAAATGGGGGGAAATTGTACTTCTGTCATGGGGTTGTTAGGTAGATTAAATTTAAAAAACATATTTAAAGCCCCTTTGGTGTTGTTAGTTGCTGTATTAGCATTAGTATTTTTCATATCTCCCCATCCCCATTTCTTGTTTCTCATCCTTCTTGGGGATTTATTGTATAACGCAGTTTTATGTCAAAGTTGGTACAAGATAGTTTTTCACACTTAAAAAATTTCACATCTCCCATCTGGAAGTGTTTTTGTTTTGGGGTTTGCTTTTGTGTTTTAGCACATCTGATTTTCTATGCTAGACTGTCACCTTTGTGAAGGTGGGAGCTGGGTCTGATTTGCTTGGTGCTTACTTATTAGGGGCTCAGAAAAATAAGTGAATGAGCAGGTGAATATAAATATGATCCTTTGTAACTTTGGTTTGGAAAATGTTGTTTCGGGGATTATCTTTCTCTACAGATTTGAGTAGTTAATCACAGAAAAGGATTTTACATTTTTGTTTAGTTTTGTTAGGGAAACTGAACCATCATCTGGCTGCTAGGCTTGTCCTTACCCTAGCTCCAGGATGTAAAGTGTAGAAAGGGGGATGCGCTCATTAATCTTCGGATTGGTGGGCACTTCACTTGCCCAGTTGTCCTGGTACTAGCAGTAATTTCTCCCGGACCTAAGTTGTCATTCCTCTTTCCCTTTCCCTACTTCCCCCAAAACTTACATGTTTATAAGTATTTTTTTCCCCTTATTTCTTTGTTTTTCTTCCCCTCACCTATTTTCTGTTAATACGGATATTTGCTTGAAGCCAGGATCTCTGAACTTACAACCCACTCATCTCCTGAAGTCCCCAGTTAGTTCTGGAGGAGATGGATGATGTCTTAAAGAGGTTTATGAGTCCAAGTAAGGGAACAAGAGGAGAGAACCAAGGTAGTATATACCACCAAGCTCTGCTGCCTCAGAGATTTTTGTGTCGAAAGTGGCTGATGGCCTCACCTCTTCATGATATATCACCTCGCCTCTTCTCTTCAGTTCTGCTTTTCTCCACTGCCAGAGATCATCTTGATTTTTGTTATTGTTGGAGACCACTTCCTTTGAATTGAGTCCCAGAGCCTCAGAGTATCAGGACTTGTGGTTCCAGTTAGAGTTTTACTCATTTTTAATTGTAATTGTTTTAGCAGTAGAAACATTTCTTTGGGTTATTAGCTTTTGTATTGGGAAGCTGTTTTACAAGGTAACAAAATCATCCTCGCATGCAAAGTTGTAAAAACTATTTCCAAGAAAACAGATCGTGTTACAATTTTTTTCTTACCTTTATATTTTAATGTAACAATTCTTAACACATAGAAGGAAACTGTTTGAATTCAGTACCTTAAAAATAAAACTGTGGGTGGGGCGCGGGTGGCTCATGCCTATAATCCCAAAACTTTGGGAGGCCGAGGCGGGCAGATCACTTGAGGTCGGGAGTTCGAGACCAGCCTGACCAACATGGAGAAACCCTGTCTCTACTAAAAATACAAAACTAGCCCGGTGTGTTGGCGCGTGCCTGTAATTCCAGCTGCTCAGGAGGCTGAAGCAGGAGGATCGCTTGAACCCGGGAGGCAGAGGTTGCGATGAGCCGAGATTGCATCATTGCACTCCAGCCTGAGTGACAAGAGCGAAACTCCATCTCAACAAATAAATAAATTAAAAAAAACTGTGCCTCTCCTTAGCTGTAGTATTATGTAAGGCCCAAACACAGGAGCTACGTTACAATTGAAAGGAGACTGCATTGCTGGCTCTGGAAAAATGCTTACTGACTTGTATTATTGAATAATCATAATTCTTTTATTTTTTTTTTCTTTATGAGACAGGGTCTTGCTCTGTCGCCCAGGCTGGAGTGTAATGGTGCAATCTCAGCTCATTGCAACCTCTCCCTCCTGGCTCAAGGCTACTCCCACCTCAGCCTCCCAAGTAACTGGGACTACGGGCACAAGTCACTGTGCCTGGCTGATATTTTTTGGATGTATTTATTTATATTTTTTGTAGAGATGGGGTTTTGCCATGTTGCCCAGGCTGGCCTCAAACTCCTGGGCTCACGCAGTCTGCCCACTTCGGCCTCCCAAAGTGCTAGGATTACAGGCGTGAGCCACCGCACCTGGCCTAATCATAATTCTTAAAAATACAGTGGTTGCCTTCTTAATAATGACTTGTGCTTGCCCCTTTTATAATGTATTCAATTGATAAATAGAAAAAGAAGAAAAATATATCCATGTAGTTATGAATTTCAGATGTATGTATGTAGATTAACAGACATTAATATATATAACCATGGCAAAAATAGTTTGATGACAAGTAAGTATAATCTCTCTCTGGGCATCATTAGCAAGTGCAGTGTTCAGCTAAAAGTGACCCAGAGGAGGTGAACTATAATTTACTTGAGTTAAGAAGGATAAAGATTGGAGCAAACTTTCCAGCCAAAGCAGTTCATTGCCCCAACATAATAACTTACTTAAATTCAAGTAGAGTGGGTAGATCTATTGAAATGAACTTTGTGCTGTGCATGTTACAATGTATTAAAGTGCTGCTTCCAAAAAGAACAGAAGAGTGAACATTTAAAACTTTTAAGAAAGAAATCGATTGCTCAGTGATATTTTTTAAACACTAAAGAGATTTTGCTCTTAAAGTGTTTGAATCTTAACTAATTTTAGCAATTGAACTGAGATGGGTGAGTTCTTTCTTAATACCCTTATGGCAGTATATTTGAAAATTTTTTTTTAATTATTACGGTTCTGTGGGAAAGTAAGGAAAAGGGATGAGCAGAAACTATACAGTTAGTACTTTATTGTGAAGTTCCTTTTCCTCTAGTGATGGGAGTGAATTCTTAAGTGGGGAATGTTTTCCTCTGGTGCGAAGATTCTGTTACATGAAGTAGGCTTCCTGAAGAATCTTAAGGTAATCTTTTTGCAATTTGTTGCCTACTTTACCATTCACAGAGAGAGAATGATCTGTTGTGAATCCTGTCACTTTATGGCTGTCCTCAGAATTGTACCGAGAAAGTATTACAGCAAAATGATTCAGACTCAGACACGACATCAGATCTGTTTAGAACCCTAGTTCTGCCACTTACTGGATGTGCGGTCATGGACAATTGCTTGGCCTCTCTAGGCCTGTCTCCTCCATCTGTAGAATGGGGATGACACAGTAATAATTTCAACCTTGTAATGTAAAAATCAGCGAAATAAAGCATGTAACACACTAACACAGTTCTTACACAGAAAATGCATGATATACTAGCCATTAATGATATTACTGCTGCTGCCGAAGACAGCAGCTGGTAAGATTAGCCAGGACCCCGATCTTCAGACTTTGGCATGTTAATTGAAGTCTTAAATCTTACACTTCAATTCTTGCTTCCTTTCTGTCCCTAGACTAGAATTAGGTCAGTTTCTCTTGATGAACACATTTGAAAGGAGATAAGTGATTAGGGCATTTTAGATATGAATTTGGAAGTGGGCTTTGAACTCAGGATCCCAGCGGGGGCAGTCAGAGGAGAGAAGTGAAAATGGAGTCGGACAAGGCAGGTGTCCTTTCCGGAAGGAAATACCTGAGTCTAGTGGATTAGTTGTGCCAAGCCCTGGAGGATTGTCTAGACGATCTAGACTTAGCCACATGTGGATGAAGGCATAAACACACTTCTGTGATTCTCTCTTGACTTTACAAGGTGGTTGCAGTGAAATAATTCAGAAAAGTTGGCTTTTGTTCATGATATACTGTGGTTTGCTTAAAATATATTTGGCTCTAGAGCTGTAATATCTACATGTAGCTATTGAGCACCTGAAATGTGGCTGTTGCTACATTGTGAAATGATAACATTTTAGATATATGCGGTTACATAGTATTAAAACTAAAAAATTATTAATTTCACTTGTTTCACTTGTTTCTCTTAACTTTAACGTTTTTTACTTTTACTTGTTTCTCTTAACTTTGAAGTTTTTTATTTTGAAAAACTTTACAAAATGCTGCTACAAGGACATTTAAAATCACATGTGTGACTTGCCTTATATTTCTGTTGCTCTAGAGGGTTACAGTTGAAGGGATGGTTCCAGTCCTAATTCGGGAATTCACTGCTACAATAGTTTCTTCCTTGTTAGGATTCAGGCTACCTCAAAATCAGCTTTGTGAGCTACTGGGCAAGGTCCAACTTTTTCAATTGAGCGTACAGGGAAGATAGTCTTTAGTGGTTACTGATGGCCCAGTTATGTCTCAAAAAATTTAAGCATTTAGGGCTGGGCATGGTGGCTCACACCTGTAATCTCAGCACTTTGGGAGGCCAAGGCAGGCAGATCATGAGCTCAGGAGATCGAGACCATCCTGGCCAACATGG